ACAAAATATACAGTTCAGATAATTGTCTTGTTAATTGATGTTTTAATAATCGAATTTGTTGATCATAGAAGATATAATCGATTCATTCTGATAATCAAGATTCTATTTTATTTGGTTAAATTCTCTGCTTACATGATTAATTTGAGCAAATACATTTTTTGTTATATACGAGCATAGGGACGATGCGTTACTGCTTATATCGTAGCATGGTCGATTAGTTCATTTACATGGAAAGAACGACTGTTCTTAATTACGGCTTCTATACCAAAAGGTACTTTGCAGGTATATAGTTTTGATTACATTACATTATAATTGGATCAAGTTGAATATATATTTATAAATGCAAATCAAATGCAATGTTCAAATTTTATTTTATAAGATTCAAATATTATTCATAAAATATAATTCATTAATATAATTCATTATATACTTTATTCATTATACTTTCGAGATATCTAATCTTATTCTTTGATCAGTTGGTTTCAAATCTTGTTTCCTTCGAAATATTTGTAAAAGATATAAATCTGGTCTATTATTGAACTTACTTGTGATATTCGATATACTTGATCTCATTAATAGATATTCATTATATTTCTATTTATCAATTCAAAAATTCATAAATTCAAATTTAAAGGCAGCTTTAGGGCCATTAGCATATGAACAATTGAGGAACAACGAAGGAAACGAGGAATTCGAAATGGCTTTGGACATCGTCAGATTATCCGTACTTACCTTTTTCCTGGCACCGATCGCATGCTTTTTGATGAACTACACCGGACCGATTTTTCTTGAACAAATTACTGAAGAGCAACGTCAAAAAGATCGCGAATTAAGTTATTTGCGAATTCTTTCTCTTTTGCCAGAATCATCTAACAATCAGGAATTATAAAGTTGTGCTTACATGCTTTTTCTATCAGAATCAATCGATTGCTGACATTGCAATATCGATAATCATAATCGACTAATCAGAGTTGTCGATATCTTCGTGACAAATGTTGCATGTTATAATATAAAATTTAGTAAACTTGACATGTATTAAAGTTTTCGTAGATAAACAATCCAATTGTTGATACGATTTTTCTTCACTTTTTTTTTAAATTTTTTCAGAGCTATTTCTTATGAATTTATGATTTTTATTTGATATTTTATCCTTAAAATAAGAAAAAATGTTTCATAATTTATAAAACTTTGTATTTGTAATATTAATTTATAATCTTAATTATATATAATTTTATATTGTTGTAATATCTTATCTTATATCTTAATTGTATATTATTGATTAATTATGTATATAACAGTTATTGTTAAAAACTTTTGTCATTAAAATTAAACTTGTTTGTTGAAATATCTATTTTAAGAATAAACTCTCATAATCTCGTTTAATAGAATATGAAATACAAGATGAAATACAGGATAGATTTAACATTTAATAGAATTTTGTGTCTCGTTTTGAAATACCGATTGCATAAACAATTAAAATGTTTGATATGCTCTTTTTGATATAATTGCAGAAATTATATATAAAATTATATATATATATTAAAATATTAAATATTATATATAAAATATTCTTATATATTATTACATTATATTCATAAATTTAAAATTG